CCCTCCCAGTGAATAACCTCCATATATTATGCCTTGTGAGGAATGGTGACTTATGCCTATGAGATTACACCATATTTCAACATAAAAAACGGAAAGTGAATTGCAAATAGAAGCAATTGCTTCTTGTCATGACATTGCATGTAACTCCCTAATTCAAAATACTCATACCTTATTGTTTATGATTTTGAGTAGGTGTTTTGTATGTGCTCGTATTTAATTAATTCAACTCTTGTTCCTTGTTGAATCACCTGATTTCTTTCACTTTCATGCTTGTTGAATATTTCTCGATAAAAAGCAGTGAATTGGGTTTCTCATATATAATTCTCGAATCAAACAGAATTACACAATAAAGAGAACATGCTGAGTGGTGTTATATTCTAACAGTTATTGTATAAAAAATAAATCAGACGTTTCAGTATAGAAAAATAATTGATACATAGACAATTTTTCCAATATCGTCATAAGGGAATGGAGGCGGGAATAGACGTCTTCGTTCAATATAATATCAATGTTCACATGATTTCAGGTATTTTTATCAAATAATCATCAATCTATTATGTTTTTGTATAAAGATAATTCTTGTTGCCGTGGTGATCTAATGAAAATTACCCATATTTTTAAACCTTACTGTAGAGCGTTGACATGTAATTTTTACGTAGGGGATAGAAGGCTTATTCAGCAGACGGCATTTATTCAGCAGACGGATCTGAGTGAAAATCAATAGTATTATGCGGTGGTCTCATAATCGTAGACATGTTCCTCTTGCGATTCATGCAAATTCTCATTAATTATGTACGTTTCGTATTATCCTTTTGGACAATAGCCACGCTGAGTAATCCACGTCACTTAAGACTTAGCATATAGAAAATGTATGACTGACATTTGTGTGAAGAATAAAATACAAAATGTCATTATTTATATTGAACTGATATAATGATTTTGTGGAAATCTGCAAGGGCGGGGAAAAAAAAATACAAGATAGAAAAATGTTTATTCTGTCTACGTCTTTATCCAAATAGGATTATCTATCATTATATGTCATTGTAAGAATGTATTTTGCATCTTTACAATTTGTAAATTTCATGTCAATTTTGCACCATTTCTCTCTAAAATTTGACTGAAGTGTCTGATTTTCTTGCATTTCTATACAATTTAGAGTGTTAACTACATGTCTGTTTATTTTATTCCTTGCTGATTCCACTTATTTCTCTCCAAAATTTGAATGAAGAGTCTGATTTTCTTGCATTTCTATACAATTTAGAGTGTTAACTACATGCCTGGTTACTTTATTCCTTGCTAATTCCACTCTTTTCCACTCTATTTTGCATTTGAAAACATGACCATTTTAACCATTTTCTCAAGATTGGAAGTATCAGACTGAATGGCACTGTGACATATTTCTTTTATCATATGGGTACAATAAAATGAATTTTTCATGTAATTTTCTTCCTCATTGTGCGATTCATACAATGATAACACTTCTTGAAACATATCCATGTTTCATCGAATTTCATCGATATTCAGACAGTTTATTCAACTTTTAGGGAGAACAAGCAGGGATAAGATATGATGTTATTAACCACTAGTTGATATGAATTGATGCTAAAAATGTTATCACTCAAAATCATATGACATAACTGTGATATATAGAGGATATCCTATGATTTATGAGTGATATGATTTTTATCCACGAATGGATATGATATCTGCACGAGCGAGCGTAGCGAGAGAGTGCAGATATCAATATCCATGAGTGGATTAAAATCATATCACGAGTAAATCATAGGATGTTCTTTTTATTCCATAGTTAAAGTCATCATCAGAATTGTCGGAAATTAAGTCATTTAATTCGAATTTTCCAAACGATCCGGCAATGTTGACACTTAGCCTCGTTTTGAGTCTGAAGTAGCAAAAATCCATTAACCATCGCATACGACGTCGTATGTCATGGCTAAAAACCCGTATGCTATGGTTAAGTGAAAATTTGTCAAAAATATCATATTTTACCACTGATTACAAAAATACCGTTTTTATTTTCACATGTTATCCAATGAATATCATGCTAACTATGGAATAACATAGAATATCACTCAAAATCATATTATATCACTCAAAGTCATACATCGCTCAAACCTCAATATCATAGCATAATGCTCAAAATTATGGAATATCAATGACATCATATGATATCACATTCATATCACATTTCATATTTTATTTTATCCTCTTTCCTTAAGCTCAAAATATCTTCATAATTAACATTACAAGTAAGTACCCAAATGTTTCTTTTATTTCTCGATAGCTGTACACATTTCTAGTCTGTGACAAATGTATAAACACGACCCGCCATGATATGTTATTATGACTGCAGGCCCTGACATTTGTATGACACTCATTTGAATTAAGGCCAATTTCTGTGGTAACATTCCATAAATGATGCACAGTAATGTAATTGAGAAGGAGGTATAATTATGCTCTCGCCAGTTGATGGCTCATCGGGGGGGGGGGGGGGGGGTAAGGTATAAGGACTACAGAATATTCTTTTAAATGATGCATAGTAATGTAATATGAAGAGGAGACATAATTATTGTGCTCTTGCCAGTTGACATCTAGCTATTATATAAACTACCCTCTGCCTAAGTATAGACAATATTACAGTTTAACAGCCCCGGCCCATTGGTGCCTATGACAGCCAGGGTTATAATCATTTCAAACCTACCGCCTGATTTTTCTCAACCACTTTTTACACTGAAACTGAATTTGACATTGAATCATATATGTTTAGTGATTTTAAAAGATATTCTGTTACAATAATTTATAAAAAGTATACTCATATCAGGCCCGTAGCCAGGATTTGCCAAGGGGGCTCAGTTTTCCAAAATTTCCAGGGGGGGTTCACATTTGACAATTTTGGCCAAAATCACTTAAGAATTGCTCAAAATGGTGAAAAACTGCATGATTTTGAAAGAGTTTTGGGCCGGGGGGGGGGGGGGGGGGGGGGGGGGCTCGCCCGAACCCTGCGAACCCCCCCTGGCTATGGGCCTGCATATCATCAAATTTACAGTTTCAAGTTTGATTTATGAAATAAACCCTTGAATGGCCTTCTAGTAAATAGATGTGTATACGGTGAGACCTGTCATTAAGAACACCTCTCTCTAGTGAACACCTGTCTCTAGTAAACACCTGTCATTAAGAACACCTCTCTCTAGTGAACATCTGTCTCTAGTTAACACCCTTCCTCTGCACATACTCTACTGACTTCTGTAAAAATCACCCTCTCTGTAGTAAACACCTGCCAACACTGATCATTTTTCTCAGCAAATAAATGTGTTCAACAGGCCTGTAGCCAGGATTTACCAAGGGGGGTTCACTTTTTGAAAAATTCCAGGGGGGTTCACTTGTGACAATTTTGGTCCAAAAATGGCCAAAATCAATTAAAAAGTGCTCAGAATGGTGAAAAATTGCATGATTTTGAAAGATTGTTTTGGCCAGGGGGCCTGTTCAATATTCACAGGTTTTACTGTAATTTTGAGTGGAAAATTGAGGTGACGCATAAGTTGGTCAAAGGAAAAATCAATGAGCACATTTCTAAGCATTTGTTATTGAGAGGTAGAAAGCACTTTATCATCATGATGACGAAGGCTCAGACCTGATCCCCATGTAATATTAAATTGGATTATGTCAAGAAGGAAGATACGAAAAATGTATTTTTGATTATTCATTATTGATTCAGTTTCTTTGATGACCAATATATCATTGATACGACATCAGGGTATCTGAGAGTCATTAAAAGACATAATATGTCATATAATTGTAATTTTTGAATTGAATGTAATATTTATAGTGTTATGTTTTAGTGATCTTTAAATTGAAATAGTCTCGTATCAAGCCTTTGTACCTCCCTCAACTCTGATTCTTTTTTTATCGCACTTCTTATCTCTTATCACGAAAAAGATGGTCGCCGCATGAGTCTCGTCGGCAAAATTCTTGGAAAACCGCTTATCTGTTCAATTCACGAAGAAAACTGGAATGAACATGATTATGAAAGATTGAGCCAGCTAGAAGCTGATTAAAAAATGCATCTTTTGATGTCTTTTTTGCATCAAAAGCAGATCGGAATTACACGGCTATTTACTGCACTGCTAGTTTGTACTTAATACCCTAAGAAGGCTGTCATCATGTTAATGAATAAATCAATAAAAATGTATTGAAATTGAAACATGCAAGATAAAGCATAAAAAGTGGAATCAGCAAGAAATAAAGTAAAATTGCATGTAGTTGACACTCTAAATTGTATAAATGTAAGAAAACAGATAAGGTAGTCATATTTTCAAATGCAAAATAGAGTGGAAATGAGTGAAATCAGCAAGGAATAAAGTAAACAGGCATGTACTTAACACTCTAAATTGTATAGAATTGCAAGAAAATCAGACTTTTCATTCAAATTTTAGAGAGAAATAAGTGGAATCAGCAAGAAATAAAATAAACAGGCATGAAATCAGGATTACAAATTGTACAAATCAAATCGGGCCGTTCACTCAAATTTTAGAGAGAAATAACTCAAAATATCATAAGAAAAATGAGACATTCAGAGTGGATTAAAACACGGGGCATAATATAATCAACACGACATTAAGGCTCACAGAGCTGACATATATGAGGAATAATGTTCCGGGATGTAGAAACAACAATTTCTTGTTCCCTTGGCATAACTGTAGCGCTGTACATTAATAATCATAAATGTCAGTGGAATTTCCATAGTTAATTGTCTCATAAATTATCCTTAAAATTATCCTTAATTAGCTCATTATTATCATTATCCTAATGATTTTATTTAGTTATTTCATCAAATATATACATGTAGCTTGTAAAGGTGGGAGAAAGGTCACTTTACAATGGGAGGCCACCGGAGCTGCCCATAATTTTATATTAATTGCACATGCAACGATGTCTTAATTTGCCAATTTTCCTCACGAAAACATTTGTATTCTGTGTTCCAGTGCTGTTAAAGACTGCAACTACGTCATTCACACTGCCAGCCCATTCCCCAATCAGGTCGTGAAGGACCCAGAAACGGAACTTATCCAACCAGCTGTAGAGGGCACCACTAACGTATTAAAGGCGATACAGGCTGGCAAAACTGTCAAACGTGTCGTCATCACAAGCAGCATTGCTACAGTTATAGGTAAATATGAATCACAAATCAAGTAATTGCCAAAAGTTAGAAAAAGCACATTTAAGATTAAAACCAGTCATGGGGAAAAGAATTTCCAAGTATCCCGAACAAGTAGAGTTTATTTGTTTCCTCTCAAAAGACTTCGATAGTGGAGATAAAGGCTATAAAGTAAAGCTTGACCAATTGTTATACAGTATTTTACCTTAGTTAACCTCTTGACTACCAAGAGTGACGAGATTTCTCGTCATCTAAGAAATGACCTTGAAACCCTGACTAAAATTGCTCTAATTTGAACAATTTTCAACCAATTTACACAAAATATGTTTTAAAATGTGTAGAAATGAACTCTGTCGACTAATTTTACTAAATTGAGCATATGTCTTATATGTACATGTCGTATTTTGTAAAATGTCAAAAGCTGGCAAAAATGAGAAAATCTCTGGTTTCAAACGGATTTTATATAATATTGTAATCATAATAATTGTAATGTAGGTGGCGAAACTGGGGTTGACACAACAAAGACATATACAGAGGAAGATTGGGCCAATGTTGATAAACTAGATGGCTATTCCAAAAGTAAAACACTGGCAGAGAAAGCTGCATGGGATTTCCTCAAAGAACTGCCAGGTAATGGAAAACTTTGCCACCCATGGCAAAAGATTGATTTCATTTGCCCTCTTTAGATAATAGATAAATATTTGATTTACTTTAGTTTATTCAATCAGAACCAAGAGGTATGAAATAAGCAGCAAAGTCATGTGTTTTAATCAGAGGGAAACGTAATGCAGTGTTAAATACTCAAATCAACATTCCTGATCCCTTGGCCAAAAATTCTCCAAAATATGCAGTTTTTGAGCATTCTGAGCACTTTTCAATTAATTTTTGGGCAAATTTGTCAAAGGACGATTCTCGGTTTGGAGAACGAAGTTCATCAATCTAAATGAGCATTATCCCTGCTTCGGACAAATTTGATTTTTTTACATAATATAGATTTGAATGTCTTCTTTTGAATAGTCATAATTTAATTTGGGTAATATTCCTAGATTTTTTGCAAAAAAATATAAGCGCAGGACACTGATGAACTTCTTTCCCCAAATCGAGACTTGTATTTTATCGAATCGGTCTATTTGAGCATTATCCCTGCTTCAGACCAATTTGTTATTTTTACATATTGTAGATTTAATTGTCCTCTTTTGAATATTCATAGTTTAATTTGGGTAATATTTCTATATTTTTCATGAAAAAATTTTTAGCCCAGGAGGCTGTTCTCCAAACCGAGAATCGTCCTTTGAACTACCTCCCCCTTGAATTTTTTTTCAAAAGCTTGCTACAGTCCTGTTGATTTCTGACTACTTCCCGACCTTGTTCAACCTTGATTGAAAGTATTCCAGAGATGTTTTTGATTCGATGATTTATTCTGTCATCTTGTAGACATATTTGACGAGGTTATTTTTCTTCCATAAGAAGCAATCTAAGCAGGAGAATCAATCTTTTTGAAAAAGATATGACTTAAGCCCTGAGATTTTTTGTCCAATAAATGAAAATGTTCAAGTTGTATCGATATTTGAAGATGAAAATTTTGTTTGTTTGTTTGATATTTGAAGATGAAAATTTTGTTTTTTGTTGATTTGTTTGTTTATTAACAAGTATGTATTGCTTCAATTACAGAGGAGGAACGATTTGAAATAGCAACTATTCAACCAGGCTATGTATTGGGACCTATCATCCATGGAAGCATGTGCACCAGTATGGAGGTGAATATCTCATTAAATATGCGCATATTTTATAGTGTCTCTTAGTCCATATATGGTAAGGAGGATGTGCACCAGTAATAGTATAGAGGTGTTCCAGTATGGAGGTGAGTATCTCATTAAATATGCGCATATTTTATAGTGTCTCTTAGTCCATATATGGTAAGGAGGATGTGCACCAGTAATAGTATAGAGGTGTTCCAGTATGGAGGTGAGTATCTCATTAAATATGCGCATATTTTATAGTGTCTCTTAGTCCATATATGGTAAGGAGGATGTACACCAGTAATAGTATAGAGGTGTTCCAGTATGGAGGTGAGTATCTCATTAAATATGCGCATATTTTATAGTGTCTTTTAGTCCATATATGGTAAGAAGTATGTGCACCAGTATGGAGGTGAGTATCTCATTAAATATGCGCATATTTTATAGTGTCTTTTAGTCCATATATGGTAAGAAGTATGTGCACCAGTATGGAGGTGAGTATCTCATTAAATACGCACATATTTTATAGTGTCTTTTAGTCCATATATGGTAAGGAGGATGTGCACCAGTAATAGTATAGAGGTGTTCCAGTATGGAGGTTAGTATCTCATTAAATATGCGCATATTTTATAGTGTCTTTTAGTCCATATATGGTAAGGAGGATGTGCACCAGTAATAGTATAGAGGTGTTCCAGTATGGAGGTGAGTATCTCATTAAATATGCGCATATTTTATAGTGTCTCTTAGTCCATATATGGTAAGGAGGATGTGCACTAGTAATAGTATAGAGGTGTTCCAGTATGGAGGTGAGTATCTCATTAAATATGCGCATATTTTATAGTGTCTCTTAGTCCATATATGGTAAGGAGGATGTGCACCAGTATGGAGGTGAGTATCTCATTAAATATGCGCATATTTTATGCTGTCTCTAATCCATATATGGTTAAAATTATTCAAGCAGATATTCATTCAAAGTATCAGCATGTAAGGTCACAATCATCTAAGCATCAAACAAAGAAAGGAGATCACCCGGAATTTAAAAATGAAACTTTGAGTAAAGATAAACCTGTCCATATAAAAATGAATGTCTAGAATCATCTTTTCATGAAGATTGTTTCATCTGTGAATTCTGGGTAATTCCATCTCTTCGTCAATCACATACATGTAGTGAAAGTTCAGATAAGGTAACAATTATCTGAATATCCAGTTGAGTGGGAATCACCCAGAATTCATAGATGAACGTCTAGAACCATCTTCACAAGAAGATTTTTCATCTGTGAATTCTGGGTAATTTTTCCTCTTTATCAAACACATACATGTTGTGAAAATAGAGTTTCAGCATGTTTCAAACTTAATTTTTGCAGGTGCCCAAGAAGCTTCTGGAGCGAGCTATGCCAGGACTCCCCAAACTTAACTTTAACATTGTTGATGTCCGTGACGTAGCAGAAGCCCATATTAAGGCAATGACTGCACCAGAGGCTGCTGGGAAGAGACATATTGCCGTCACCCATAATATGTGGATCCGGGATATTGCATCTGTCATCGCAGAGGAGTACAGACCACAAGGTATCTAATATAATCTAATAGTATATTAATAACAGGGTATCTAATATTATCTAATAGTATATTAATAACAGGGTATCTAATATTATCTAATAGTATATCAATAACAGGGTGCTAGACAAAATCGAAAATTTTGGTGAAAAATCATTTACACTCAGTTTAATTGGTGCATAACTTGTTTTTCATATTTTACAGTCAATAACTGAGCCAGAAGCCCTTCATTAGAGGAGCCCTGTGTTCTTTAATGTGCATCAAAACACAGACATAAAATTTCCTACACCCTGAATAACATAATGCACAAAATAATTTGTCTGGATCAGGAAAAGAATCTGGTTACGACAGTTGTAATTAGTGTTGGCTTTGCCAATGAGCCGTATTGGGTGGACTAAAAGAAAAAATATGACAGCTTGACTGGAATTATATTTAGTTGCTAAAGAAAACATTTATACACTGTATCATACTATTCTTCCACACTATTTTACCACACTATTATGCCATACTTTTCTTCCACACTATTTTACCACACTATTATGCTAAACTATTCTTTCACACTATTTTACCACACTATTATGCCAAACTATTCTTCCACACTATTTTACCACACTATTATGCCATACTATTCTGCCACACTATTTTACCACACTATTATGCCATACTATTCTCCTACACTATTTTACCACACTAGTATGCCATACTATTCTCCCACACTATTTTACCACACTATTATGCTAAACTATTCTTTCACACTATTTTACCACACTATTATGCTAAACTATTCTTTCACACTATTTTACAACACTATTATGCCATACTATTCTTTCACACTATTTTACCACACTATTATGCCAAACTATTCTTCCACACTATTTTACCACACTATTATGCCATACTATTCTCCCACACTATTTTACCACACTATTATGCCATACTATTCTTCCACACTATTTTACCACACTATAATGCCATACTATTCTTCCACACTATTTTACCACACTATTATGCCATACTATTCTCCCACACTATTTTACCACACTATTATGCTAAACTATTCTTCCACACTATTTTACCACATGATTATGCCATACTATTCTTCCACACTATTTTACCACACTATAATGCCATACTATTCTTCCACACTATTTTACCACACTATAATGCCATACTATTCTCCCACACTATTTTACCACACTATTATGCTAAACTATTCTTCCACACTATTTTACCACATGATTATGCCATACTATTCTTCCACACTATTTTACCACACTATAATGCCATACTATTCTTCCACACTATTTTACCACACTATAATGCCATACTATTCTCCCACACTATTTTACCACACTATTATGCTAAACTATTCTTTCACACTATTTTACCACATGATTATGCCATACTATTCTTCCACACTATTTTACCACACTATAATGCCATACTATTCTTCCACACTATTTTACCACACTATAATGCCATACTATTCTCCCACACTATTTTACCACACTATTATGTTAAACTATTCTTTCACACTATTTTACCACATGATTATGCCATACTATTCTGCCACACTATTTTACCACACTATTATGCCAAACTATTCTTCCACACTATTATGCCATACTATTCTTCCACACTATTTTACCACACTATAATGCCATACTATTTCAGGCTACAATGTGCCTACTTGGCAGCTCCCCAACTTTGCAGTTTGGGTCGGTGGAATGTTTGATAAAACTGTCAAATTGACAGTTCCCCAGCTCGGCAAACAGTACAAGCTAGAGAGTACTAAGGTATGGAGGTTTTACATTTTTTACTTGTCTTATTATTTATTTATCTACATGAAATGAATAGATACATGTATAGTAATGTTCATAAAAAATGTTCTAGAAATAAATTTGATCTCAGGTCTTATAATTTAGAATCAGCATTTGGTCAAAAATCTGTCAAACCCAGAGGCCAAATTACATGGAACTATTTCTTTATTTTCTTTTAATAATTTTAAGATTTAAGCAATCTATTTAAATAGTAATGTAAAAAAGGCTATATACATCCAAGAAGATGTCAAGCCGATTGTGTTTTTGAGATTATATTATGTAAATGAAAAGTATTGATGAATATAGAAAAAAAAATAATAATCATGAAATTAAAGGACCAGGTATAGTCTGGCAAGTGACTTTAAACTGTCATCTTTCACCATGATTAGTTTCTAAATTTAAATATGACATTTCCCATTAACATAATATGTTATCTTTTGAGTAAATTCTCAAGAATAATAAAAATAGCAATCGAACAATTCTGAAAATCATAATTAGGGACCCCATTTCAAATTTTTTTTCAAAATGTTGAACCTATTTACTCAAAAGAGGATATTTTTCTGATATTAAAAGTGACAACATGGGGTCCTAACTGATACATTTTCAGAGAGTTGGATTGATATTTTTGTTATCATGGGGACTTTACTTAAAAGAAAACATATTGTTTCAATAAAAAACACGGTCTTTACGGCCAGAAAGTACTCATGGTGAAAGATATGACTGTCCAAAATCACTTGCCATACTATACCTGGTCCTTTACTCATGAAAATGTCATCATGTCAAAAATGATTTCCTAAGTCAAGGTCACAATGATATCCACACCAATAACTTATAATTTATGTCAAACTTCCAATATTATAAGAAATGTTCATACCATATGAGAAGTTAAAGGGCCAAGATGAAGGTTGCCTGGGGATTAGAAAATCTATAGAAAACTGATTTCTGAATGTTCACACTTACTATATATATTCCAGTTAAAAGAAGTGCTAGAGATCGAATCCAAAATTCAAAGGAGACCATATTAGATATGTGTAGCACTATGATAGGATTTTGGTGGGGCCTTTGGAGAAATTGACTTTTGAATATTCACACTTGACTACCTTATCTTTCAGTTAAAAGAAGTGCTAGGGATTGAACCCAAAGATTCAAAGGAGACCATATTAGATATGTGTAGCACTATGATAGCATTTTGGGTGGGGACTTTGTGAAAATTGACTTTTGAATATTCAAACTTGACTACCTTATCTTCCAGTTAAAAGAAGTGCTTGGGATCGAACCCAAAGATTCAAAGGAGACCATATTAGATATGTGTAGCACTATGATTGAAGGAGGATGGGTAAAGAAACCAAAGCCCAAAAAGCAGAAGGCATCCAAGGCAAAGAAAGATGAAGAGGCAGTTGAGAATCACGTAGCAGAAGGATCAGGTGAGAAAAAATGTCATGATGATCATGTTGTCAAATGAGAAATATGGTTGAAAAGAGTGGAATTAGCAAGGAATGAAGTTAACAGAGATTTAGGCAACACTCTAAATTGTATAGAAATGCAAGAAAATCAGACACTTCATTCAAATTTTAGAGAGAAAAGAGAGGAATCAGCAAGGAATAAACTGAGCGGGCATGGAGTTAACACCCTAAAGTGTAGTTTAGAAATGCAAGAAAATGATGCAGTTCACTTAAATATAAAATAGCTTGCTTAAAATAGACATGATTACCAAAGAGAAAATTCATGCTTGAAATGCAAACATCCATGTTATAAATGCAAATATTCATGCTAGAAATGCAAATATTCATGCACAAAATGTATTCATGGTAAAAATGCAATAACATGTATTCTAGTACCCATGCTACAAATGCAAATACCCATGCAAGCAGTAAATAATTCAACACATTAATTAAGTAGAAGTATTTCTTGTCATCAATCATTTTGTTAAATGTTCCAATTTTCTGTTGTAGCTGATGCCAAGAATGAAGAAGAAAAGAAAGAAGGCGAAGAGACGGAAGAGAAAAAAGAAGAAGGTGAGAATACAATTAAAGGAGCAATTTATTGTAAAATTTTTATATCAGAACACCTCTTTAATCTGAACACCTCTCAATATGAACACTTTCTCCATCCCAATTTCCCAACCTCCCATTCAGTCCCATGTTAAAGAAAGCTTGAAATATGAACACTTTCTCCATCCCAATTTCCCAACCTCCAATTCAGTCCCATGTTAAAGAAACCTTGAAATATGAACACTTTCTCCATCCCAATTTCCCAAACTCCCATTCAGTCCCATGTTAGAGAAACCTTGAAATATGAACACTTTCTCCATCCCAATTTCCCAACCTCCCATTCAGTCCCATGTTAAAGAAACCTTGAAATATGAACACTTTCTCCATCCCAATTTCCCAACCTCCCATTCATTCCCATGTTAAATAAACCTTGAAATATGAACACTTTCTCCATCCCAATTTCCCAAACTCCCATTCAGTCCCATGTTTAAGAAAGCTTGAAATATGAACACTTTCTCCATCCCAATTTCCCAACCTCTCATTCAGTCCCATGTTAAAGAAACCTTGAAATATGAACACTTTCTCCATCCCAATTCCCCAACCTCTCATTCAGTCCCATGTTAAAGAAACCTTGAAATATGAACACTTTCTCCATCCCAATTTCCCAACCTCCCATTCAGTCCCATGTTAAAGAAAGCTTGAAATATGAACACTTTCTCCATCCCAATTTCCCAAACTCCCATTCAGTCCCATGTTAGAGAAACCTTGAAATATGAACACTTTTTCCATCCCAATTTCCCAACCTCCCATTCAGTCCCATGTTAAAGAAACCTTGAAATATGAACACTTTCTCCATCCCAATTTCCCAACCTCCCATTCAGTCCCATGTTAAAGAAACCTTGAAATATGAACACTTTCTCCATCCCAATTTCCCAAACTCCCATTCAGTCCCATGTTAGAGAAACCTTGAAATATGAACACCTTCTCCATCCCAATTTCCCAACCTCCCATTCAGTCCCATGTTAAAGAAACCTTGAAATATGAACACTTTCTCCATCCCAATTTCCAAACCTCCCATTCAGTCCCATGTTAAAGAAACCTTGAAATATGAACACTTTCTCCATCCCAATTTCCCAACCTCCCATTCAGTCCCATGTTAAAGAAACCTTGAAATATGAACACTTTCTCCATCCCAATTTCCAAACCTCCCATTCAGTCCCATGGTAAAGAAACCTTGAAATATGAACACTTTCTCCATCCCAATTTCCCAACCTCTCATTCAGTCCCATGTTAAAGAAACCTTGAAATATGAACGCTTTCTCCATCCCAATAGGATAGTTTCTAAATAGCAGAAAAATCAATGAAATCTCGTGCTGCCATCTTTTATTCAGCTTTTAACTCTGGCTAGAGCGCCATTCACTTACATGCTAAAATCTTGGAAAAGTGGCTTAATTTCATGATTTATCAAAGTGTGTTTGTTGAATCTGTATAAAACTTGAATGATATACCACATGATGACCCTGTTTATGAACATGTTGTGATTAAACATGCTAATGTTGATTGACATACAAATAATCCACGGTTTTAAAGAATTTTAGCATTGCATCTATGGACATTTGGCCCAACTTTTTAAATTGTCATAGAAAATTATTCAAATTACATAACTGTGTAAATCAAAGCTATTTTAGGAGAAAACATTCCACTGAATTCAAATATACCATTTAAAAGAAGGTAATGTAAGTCATTAGAGGTCTAATATGCAAGTCTCTTAAAATCTCACGAAAAACGAGATTTAGCGAGATTTCAAAAGCTATATGGAAACTATACTATTTCCCAACCTCCCATTCAGTCCCATGTTAAAGAAACCTTAGAATATGAACACTTTCTCCATCCCAATTTCCCAAACTCCCATTCAGTCCCATGTTAAAGAAACCTTGAAATATGAACACTTTCTCCATCCCAATTTCCCAACCTCCCATTCAGTCCCATGTTAAAGAAACTTTGAAATATGAACACTTTCTCCATCCCAATTTTCCAACCTCCCATTTAGTCCCATGTTAAAGAAACCTTGAAATATGAACACCTGCTAAGCTGAATATTTCGTTTGTCCCAGTAGCGTTTGGATTAGACAGGTTATATTATACTGTACTTTATGATAGTAAAAACAGTAAAAAGGCAAATGGAACAACTCCGTTTGTGGGAAAACTCCATTCGTGGGAAAACTCCGTTTGTGGAACACCTCTATACGTTGAACACTTTTCAGAGTCTCTTAAAGGGCTCGTAGCTGCAATTTTCATTTTAAATAACCCTAAAATATTCATTCCGATGCAACTGACCCAATCAACAGAACTTTGACACGTAAATAACATTATGATGAATTTAAAATATTTAGGGTTATTAAATTGTAATGTGTTAGTCGGTTAGAAAAGGTGAACACTTTAGAAAAGGTCTGGAAAAAGAAAATGATATTAAATTTTTTTCTTTCTGTGTGTGTTTTTGTAGAAAAACCAGCTGAGTCAGATGAAAAACCCACCGAAGAAAAACCTGAGGAAAAACCAGAAGAAAAATCAGAAGAGAAAACAGAGGAAAAAGCGGAAGAGAAATAATAGCCATGGCAACCCTTTTTGTTTCCATGAGAATTCCATATTTGATGTGACCAATTTTAGAAAGACACTGTTCGCTGGTTGTCATTTAGGCTAGCAATTTGTTAAAGAAACACCATTACTCAGAAGTACCATACCGTGTGTTAGATCGATAAAACAGTGGGCATATTTACAGAAAAGAAATCTCATATTAATACTACTCGAACAATAGGCACTATTTTGTATTAACGAAAACTGGTAAAATGTGATTTAATCAGCCTATATCAGTTACATATGTAGCAACTGGTAAGTGAGCACTAGTGTGTTTTTCATATTAGATGCAGAGACTTAATAGAACTTTGAGATCATCAGATAATTACTTTGTGCAATCCAATTACTTTATTTGGCTAGTACTTCCATATTAGGCCATGCTTACCATATATGGTCAACACTACCATATTTGGCAAACGAATCTCAATTCCACTCAATCTGAGTCGAAAGAACATCCATGGGATGAAAATGCATGTTATTAAATTAGAGGCCAGTGTAGTTGTATGTTTTAAATATATAACAAAGTCAGAAGTCCGGGGGAAACAAAAATGTACAGACTTATGTACGAGTTTGTAGGTAACACCATTAATTGTATCGAAATGAAATATACATTTGAGATATGGAGTGAAATATGTGAAATGCTTGGAATAAGGGTCCACTAACATTGACATACAAACACGTTCAATTGGAGGACTAACTTTGAATGGGTTAATGGGTATGTCCATATTTGGATATTGAAATGTGGCCATGATAGCTTTTACAACTAAAATCCAGTAATTTGTACATTTTATACAATTTTGGACATTTTTGTACAAATATATTCCCAAATAAGTTTATTTTCAAACTGAAATTTTTCAAAAAAGCACTTTCTGTTTTAGGTCAATAGCAGTAAAAGTGAAAGATAGGTCAGTGGGTATCATTAGGCATGTTAGCATTTGATAGAAATATATGGGATTAAAGGGGTTAATTTCAGTATGCCCATATTTGGACATTGTTTTACGTGGTAGGTCAGCTGATTTGACGTCAGTGTATGCATATATTATGTCATATGCATTCGAATTATTATCCTATGAATGTTCAATTATATTTTCTTATTTATTATTTTCTTATTTATTATTGTTGTACTTAAGACTAGAGAACCACCAAAAGTTGTCAACTAGAGATAGTTTCCATAGTAACTTAGACTACTAATAGTAACTAGTATATAAATCTGTTGCCATAGCAATCAAATTACTATTGCAATCAAATTGCTTGCCAATATTGTATTTACAAATGCCATGATATGCTTATATATATGTCAATGTTTTGTAAATATAAACCCATGTTTTTATTATCATTGTGTGAACGTAAATGTGCAATGGGTTCCAGTATGGGACACCCTGTATTAGTGTAACACTTTGTATTAATAGGATATACTGCATTTGAAAGACATCGTATTTATGAGATACTCCATATTTATTGCATCCCTGTATTAAGGATATTTCAAATTCATGGGATACCCTGTATTAGGGATATGCATATCCCATCACAGTTATCGTAACTATGAGTGCTCTTCGCTAAGGTGATTTGGACGTTGCCATGGAAACTTACTGTTAACACCACTTTGAGCGAACAGAAATATTATCTCATTAGCATAGTTTCACAAATTCACTTGTAAGCCCCCTCCCATTTAAAAAACACTGTGGGATGGAGAACAGGAGGAAACAAGTGAGTGTCTGTGTAAAACTGCATAGTTTAATGTATTTTAAATGACCTATAGATTCATCATAATTACCCTGAAAATTCAATATATTTTGATACATATAATCATATGATATCATAAAATAAGACAATAGCTCACTATAACTTCTTGGATTTTGTAAAAAGTGTAACGCCATGTCACAGTCCATATTCAGAAATATGTAACACTGCATATGAAATATGTAACACTGTTCACTGAGTATTATTGTTCGCATAATCTGAAAAACTTTGTATTGATATGTATATTATATGTTATTACACGTAAACTGCAAAAATACCATTCCGTGAGTGAGTAAATGTCTCATTGACCATGCCTATTTCACTGTATTTTTCTCTAAAATTTGAATGAATTGCCAAATTTTGGGGTATTTCTATACGATTTTTTGTGTTGACTACACACCACATGTTTATTCATTCCATGCTCATTTACACTCAATGTTGAGTATAAAAATGGTTGCCATGACATGAGTGATATGTACATGTGGTACATGTTCAAAACATAGTGTTACATAAATCGCTAACCCTCCCCCTTAGTCTTTTTGACTTGTTATGATGGGGAAATAGAGAATAAAGGGTGGGAGGATACTTGATGTAAGATCAACCTCATCCCCTTCTCAGTATGTGTGTTCTCTACCCTTCAGGCCCATAATCAGCTTTTGCCAAGGGGGGTTCACATTTCACACAAATGTAAAATGCTCAGAATAATGAAAAACTGCATGAATTTTTTGAAAGGGGGACAGTGGCCTGAACCCCTTGAACCCCCCCCCCCCTCCCCAGCTTCAAGCCTGCCCTTGTTGTGCCCTTGCTTTGCATTAAGACCCCTCTCTGCTCTCTCTACAATATAACAAAAGTTCTAGTGGGGGAACTGGGGAGCAGGAGGGGAAAAACTTGATGAAACATCCAATTGGGTCACAAAAGGACTTACGTAAAGCCCCCTGATCTCTTATATGTCTCTTAGAGTGTGGATGTTGATCGGACATTGTATTCTACGATATCACTCAAGTGAAAATGCACACTCGGTCGAGACTTGAGATGGAGGGGGGATTTTGTGGGTCTTGTGGAACAAAAATCCTAGTAGAGTAAAACCTATAATGCGGAAGACCTCTAGAAGTGGAACGCCTAGTGGAACACTTAAAATTCCCAAGACCAAATGACTTAATGTTAAATTTCCGTTATAAGTGCAACACGTTTTAGAGTTACCATAGTTGTTCCACTTACACAGGTTTTACTGTATATGTATTGTATAACATGCTTTATCATGAACAATGAGGGAACTTGAGAATGGGAGGGGGGGCAGGAACTTGACGGAAGGTTACATCATAGGCCCGCAGCCAGCTTTTGCCAAGGGAGGGGCTCACTGTTAAAAAAGATCCAGGGGGATTTTGAACCCCTAGAGCCCCCTCTGGCTACATGCCTGTATTAGTATGTGTAGCAAGGTTTTGTCATTCTTTGTAACCATTGGCTTTTGCATGATGTGTGAACCTGAGAACGGAGGAGAGGTATAGACTTTAACCTGCAGCATTAGTATTAATGTCTGTATTGGGCTTTAATGCTGCTTATAAAGGAGCATCTGTAAGATCGATGTAGTATCGTTTAACTCTATTTGCCGAGTTAATCTGTACCACCCCTCCCTTCCCCTTGTATTGAAATATTAATGAAGTCTTGTAAAGTTGCCATGTAGACTCATGACTTTCGAAACTTCTCGATGTGCCGTACCCCTTCTTCCAGGTCAATCCTTGAGTTTCTTTACCCCCCCCCCTTCATAACGAGTAAACTTCCTCGGTCTACAAAAACTCTGCATCCTACTGTTTTCCCCAAAAATATCTACATATTCTTAATGGATGTTTCTAATGTGGAATTTAAAGTCTCTGACGCATTCTTATATTTGAGGATTGTGTGTTTGATTGTAAATAGATCGAACGTAAGGTAGTATCGGTTCTAGTTTGTACTATACTTAATATTATTAAGTTTTAAACATTTTTGTAAAACATTTACGCTTAGCTTTTTCATTTGTACAAAATGCATGCCTTACATTTTTCTACTGGACCTTTTGACTTTTCTATTGGGGATGTTTTGTACGAATCTCAGATGCTCTCCCTTGTTGAATTACATTTTCTAAAAATATTTTGTAGTCTTTTTATGAGAGTTCCCTGTACAGTTAATAAATAATTTAGTGTTTTTAGCGAGTACAAGAAGAAAAGTAAACAAAAAGAGAGTAGAAGGGTTGAGACGAGTTAATAGTGAGAACGATTTTTACAGTTATCTGGCAAAAATTTAAAAAGGTGATGTCCGTGTTACAGCACTTAACCCTAAACCCCTTAACACGATAATTAATTTTCCCAGCGAACGAAGATGATCGAGAAAGACCAAGGCCTTGCCATAATTTTTTAAAAACTGCAGCATATTTTTCATGACATCAGTATGGCTTAATTTTGTGCCTCTATTTTAAACACGCAAGTAGATACAAGTAGAACTAGCAAATCCTTTAGAATGGGACTTTTTGTGCCAGTACATTTTGTATTTCAACAGAAATGTGATATTTTGCAGCATGTGATTAAAGTACTGAGTGAGAAATGTACGTCTGATGATACATTCAAGGGAAAAATGCCATGGTGGTCGTGTTTTAAAATGCAAAATAGAGTGGAAAAGAGTGGAATCAGGAAGGAATAAAGTAAATGGGCATGTAGTTAACACTCTAAATTGTATGGAAATGCAAGAAAATAATACAGTTCAATCAAATTTTTAAGAGAAATGAGTGGAATTAGCAAGGAATAAAAGAGCAAAAGTGATGAAAACCATACATGACCACCATGAATATTTTCCCCTGGGCTGAATTAAAATACTATTTATTTTGTATTTCTTAACTGCTTGACTTTTATATTTGCATGTAAATTTTAAGATTAGTTCTTCTTGCATTGATGTACATGAATTTCTAGAAGATCTTCCACAATCTAATATTCTAAACTTGCCATACACAAAATGTAGTTCTAAAGTACATGTATGAGGTTTATGGGAATTAGGGGTATTAATGAAGTAATGAAGAAGGAATTGAAAACAGTACCAAACTAGATTTCAAGATTTCTAGTAAATACCCCAAATTCCTATTTAAATACACAATATCCCAAAAATGAAAATGAATCAAGGGTATGGGTGAGTCCCTAACTGTATTTTGGACTGACCCATAATTGCCTAGAACATTGATAAACCCCTCCATCCAGATTTACCCATTTTGGGTCAAAGAACCAAAACCACTTCTATGAACTAATTTGCATAAAGTTTATATTTTTATTATTTAGAATTTTGTAATGCAATGCAAACAATGGTCCAAAATAGGGTCATAGTGACCTTGGGCAAACGCAGTATTATTAAAATGTCAGATATTTTTTATTATCATTATTTCTAATTAGTTTGTAATTATACTATATATGTATATCCTACTATTTATACTATTATACTATCCGTGACGTGTTTTGTAATGAAAAAATGGCCAATTGTTTAAATCTCTAATGGTTTCAGTTTAGGGCACATTCACAAAAAATGGCTCAAAAAACAAATATTCCATTCCTGTATATGGCCATTTACATAACTGGACAGGTTATTTTGGATATGCCTTAGGCTGTTTTTAGTCAATCATGGTAAACCATGCCGTCTCATTTCTTCTCAGCCTTGTAATCATCCTAGTGAAACAGAAAGATGTCATGAGTGTCAACTGGTAAATGTCTATAGTCGTACAAACAAAGAGTTTTTAAACACTTGGCCATTTATTGTACATTGATCATATAACCCAATTACTCACAAAAGCAACAGTGGACATGTGGTTTAAATTCTTAAAATGAACATTTTATACTTCTACTGCAGTACATTTTTTAACAATTAGAGAAAATGACAAAATGCTCCTTAAATATATTTATTATTTTATTTCATGAAAAATAGCTGACATGATTCTTGTCATGACATTATTCAAGAAATAAATTAGATATATTTTTGATTTAGAAATGAATTAAAACATAAATTGTAGATAATTTAGGATTTTTAAGAATTTAAATTTTTAAATTTGCTTAACAGTTCTGTACAGTAAAATGTTTTGTACATTCTATGGATGTATGCTATGTTATGTGTGTCAAAAATATGTGTCCACTATAACATCACATGATATATGTGTCATACAAGAAATATAATTGTGTACCATACATAATAAGTGTTGTTGTATGAAATAAAATAAGTGTACCAAAAACTGTGTTCTGTGAGTTTGGTTTAAAAATTAAGGCTACTCTGTACAGTATCTACACAGTATTTTACTTTTGAAATTATATAAAAAAAATTTGTCATGGATTTCCCTCATTTCAAACACTTGCATTTTATAGTCAGAAGAAGTGAGTAGCTCCCATAATTCTTTCATATTCTATAGTATTCGGGGATTCCCCATTATACGATCTCCAATCAAATTGTGATCAAGGATGTGATCAAGTGCTTTCTCAGAGCCGCGTATGTGCAAAGTAAAATTTGAAATCGTTGAAATGGCGTTTATTTCAGTTTTAAAATCAGTTCAACATCATTTCAAAACTCAGTAATCCTATTGAAGTTACTCTATCCAAACTTACAGAGAATACTCATAAAACACAAGCTAATATTAAGAGATCCATTTCAAAGGCCTGTTTTTAAAATTGTTTATCGAACATGCCAATATGAAAGGTGATCTTTGGGAATTCCCCCCCCCCTGAATTTTAGTTCAGTTTGTTATTATTAAGTCACCATGGTGATGGTGACATATTGTTATAGTTTCCAACTATTTCTGAACAGTTCGGTGCTTGGTGTTATGGCATCTGTAAAAATGGTGTCTGTAACAAATGGCAGGTGGTGACATTTTGCATATTAATGCATTGTCGTTAAATGGGATGTTTAATTTTTCAATTTTTTTCTGTTTATACAAGATTTGACTGATGGGAAAGAATTACCCTATCCATGGCTGAAAGAAGTGCATGTATAGCAAAAAGTAAGCATCTTAATATATATGAGAAAATCTAGCCAACCAGCACTAATCATTGTCATTAATATCAAATAATAAAATCATACAATATATATATTAATTTCATATTATATATTATAGTAAAAGTCAGTTTCAAATATAGCATAAAAACATTGGAAATTACAAAAAACGGATACAACAAAAAGTCTTGCATCAAGACAATGGAACACCCCTTTGGTAAAATATGGATTGATCCATTCAAGCAATTTGGAAGAGTTTACTTTGTGTCAAACAATTTAAAAGGGGTGGTTTTCCAGAGACTTGACGCAAGACAAACAAAACTGAACTAGAGTAGAAATATAACAAACTATACATAAATGGTTATAAAAACATATGACTACAAATAATATTGGACAATATATTGAACATATTGAACATAAAGGTGATTAAACCCTATTTGAAATGGATATAAGATTCAGACATTGTATTCCATAACCAAACCTATGAACCATCCCGCAATGAGCGTGATTGTCCTGCTTTGATCTAAATATGGCCTATTTGTGGGATCATGCAAATCCATTGAATGTCCCGCAAAATTTAGGTCTACGAATGATAAATCTCCCTCGGGAAAATTTTCAGGGGGGTGACAGGTTTGCATAACTTGCATGCATATTATAACAATCCCTGTATGGAGGGTGCAAATCATGTGATTTAAACTACAAGGGGCGTTCAATAAATACTGATACAAATGATCTTAATTCCATATTTGTAACTACAAGGGTCAATCAATAAATACTAATCTAAATTCCATGTTTGTAAAGGAATCATGCATAATGTTTTGGAATGTATTTAAATGACTTTTGCACAAGCTTCCTTGTTATTCCAATATCAGATTTTCGTTCTAAAATTCACATAAATAAATATTCTGTCATTACCCTATAGTCTGGGCTGTTAAGTGACTTGTATTTAAGTTGTTAACAACATGCATGTTTACATTATTTCTTTCAGATTCCACTTTTCCACTGGATTTTTGATTTTAAAGCATGACCACTCTCTCTGTCTCCAAGTTATCACAGTTATAAAGCACTCTTTCCTGAAAAAAGTTTCTCAACTGTTGCACCTGCAACGAGTCCATCTTTCCATCTCGCAGGTATCACTTTATTTTGATGTGTTGATGCAGCACCTAGCAAAGCACCTAGTGCTGCCCCCCTGTGGCAATTTTCACCTGTCAATCAAAGTTACGACCATATAAGGGAGGTTAATAAATACGAACAAAGCAGTAACAAGAAAAATGTAACAACTGTGACAGTCTCTAGTACTGATTACAAAAATGGTTGCTGTAACAAAATTGAGAAAATCGACAGTGAGATAAAAAACAGTAGTTATACAGTATACAGGCTTTTACACAGGGTTTTTCTCCCTCTAATAGTACATGAAGATCTTACCTCCACAGTTCGCATTCATAAGAATCCCATCTTCAAAGTCATCGTGACATGCTTGTGCTAGAAACAACATGGAGGACATGGCGCCCTCTATATAGCAGGCTGATCCAAGAGTTGACGTCGCAGATTGGTAGACTTGTAACCGCGATTCTGAATCTTTCATGTAACTGAAAAAATCGACTCAATGAAATAAATCAATGATGAAATAATAGGCAGAGTAATTTAATAATCAAAATGGATAAAGTACAGGGTGAATCAAAAAGTATGAGTATAACTCCAACAAATGTTAATAACTCAGTCATCCAGCATGGGTTTAAAGTTGTATTTGCCTCCTTTTTCAATTCTAATGTCACATATTTGGACATTTCAGCATCTCCTATTCCACTATACTTTTTCAGATAACTCTAAATTTGCATTTTGTCAAAAATAAAATTCGGATTCTCAGGGAAACACATACTCGTTTCCCAATTTGATTTTCAATCACACTGGTATCAGCTGTGGACAACTTTTCTATCCGAAAAACAAACAAATCATCTCATTGGTCAGACTCCTTTTAAACCATAGTTAATGGCCCTTAATTGCTTATTAATGAGGTTGACAGCTAAACTTCTATTTACCTAATACATAAGAATTAGCATAATGTAGGCTGGATTATCAGTTATCACACGTTTCAGCATGTGATACAGGAAATATTCCACGAAAGGTAATACTGTATCATCCACGAAAGCGAAGCTTGAGTGGTGATACATTGTTACCCGAGTGGAATATTTCCTGTATCACATAAGCTGACACGTGTGATGACGATTTTATCACATGTCTAGGAATTTTGAAGCATTTTGATTTGGTCAGTTATGATTGTGTTCAGTACCCCGTGTACTTCTGGTAACTATTATAATTTTTGATTTCGCTTTGAAACAATATGACGTCATACCGTTGTATTCGTACTTGTTTGTGAAATAGTATGACGTCATATTGTTTTCCTTAGCTAGAAAGAATATGATCAGTGACGTCACATCGTTGCTATTGATCATCACTGGTTGCCTCTAGTAACGTGTGAGACGGCCGTGTGAGACGGGAAAACTCACACGGTAATCAACCAATCAGATTACTGGAATTTTACAGAGCATGTGATAAAAGATGATATCTCATTCATCAGAATCCTCAATCTATGACAAATTAATAGGGTTTTGGGCAGAAATTTCAGCCTGATATTCCAAGGTATGAAAACATCATACCTTGGAAATCCAAGATGAGGGAAACATATCACTTCTTCTTCCTAAAGGTTTACCTTACCCCTTCGCTGCCTCTGTTAATTTCAATATAAGGTCGCGTTTTCTAGCTCCACCTAACATTTTGTCAGAGGCTGTCTGCAAGGCTGCTGTCTTCAAATCATTGCCGTTTATTGCACCGTGTAACAATCTAAACATATAAATGTAGAATTGAAGTATTTGTTCAAGATTTAGCTGATTTATTATTTTCCATGATTTAAGATAGAGTGCATTAGTATTTGTTCAGTATGTAGAACATATTTGCAATATACAGTGTACACCTTGCATATAACATCACATAGCCTTGCATACACTACATACCTTGCAAAGCCTTGCATACACTGCATACCTTGCATACAACTCCAAATAGCTTTGCACACACTACATACCTTGCATTTAACTCAATATAACCTTGCATATACCTTGCATACACTACATACCTTGCATATAACATCACATAGCCTTGCATAAACTACATACCTTGCATTTAACTCAACATAGCCTTGCATACACTACATACCTTGCATTTAACTCAACATAGCCTTGCATATACTACATAGCTTGCATACACAACATACCTTGCATATAACTCCACATAGCCTTGCATACACTACATACCTTGCATTTAACTCAACATAGCCTTGCATATACTACATACCTTGCATATAACTCCATATAACCTTGCATACACTGCATGTACATACCTTGCATATAACTCCACATAGCCTTGCATACACTACATACCTTGCATTTAACTCAACATAGCCTTGCATACACAACATACCTTGCATATAACTCCATATAACCTTGCATACACTGCATGTACATACCTTGCATACACTACATACCTTGCATATAACTCCACATAGCCTTGCATACACAACATACCTTGCATATAACTCCACATAGCCTTGCATACACAACATACCTTGCATATAACTCCATATAGCCTTGCATACACTGCATGTACATACCTTGCATACACTACATACCTTGCATATAACTCCACTTAGCCTTGCATACACAACATACCTTGCATATAACTCCATATAGCCTTGCATACACAACATACCTTGCATATAACTCCACCAGCCTTGCATACAATACATACCTTGCATATAACTCCACATAGCCTTGCATATACTACATACCTTGCATACACAACATACCTTGCATATAACTCCATATAACCTTGCATACACTGCATGTACATACCTTGCATACACTACATACCTTGCATACACTACATACCTTGCATATAACTCCACATAGCCTTGCATACACAACATACCTTGCATATAACTCCATATAGCCTTGCATACAGTGCATGTACATACCTTGCATACACTACATACCTTGCAAATAACATAGTCAAGCATACAATTTATACCTTGCATATAGCTCAACATAGCCTTGCATATACTACATACCTTGCATACACAACATACCTTGCATATAACTCCACATAGCCTTGCATAAAATACATACCTTGCATATAACTCCACATAGCCTAGCATACAATACATACCTTGCATTTAACTCCACATAGCCTTGCATACACAACATACCTTGCATATAACTCCATATAGCCTTGCATACACAACATACCTTGCATATAACTCCATATAACCTTGCATACACTGCATGTACATACCTTGCATACACTACATACCTTGCATATAACTCCACATAGCCTTGCATACACAACATACCTTGCATATAACTCCACATAGCCTTGCATACACAACATACCTTGCATATAACTCCATATAACCTTGCATACACTGCATGTACATACCTTGCATACACTACATACCTTGCATATAACTCCACATAGCCTTGCATACACAACATACCTTGCATATAACTCCATATAGCCTTGCATACACTGCATGTACATACCTTGCATACACTACATACCTTGCATATAACATAGTCTAGCATACAATTTATGCCTTGCATATAGCTCAACATAGCCTAGCATACAAATGATATCATGCAAATAACTCCACATAGCCTTGCATACAATACATACCTTGCATATAACTCCACATAACCTTGCATACTAGGATTTGGATGTGTCAACTTCAAAAACTCCAGTGTGGCTTCTACACATGTTTCTACATCTTCGTTGGAATAATGTAGCACCCATGGAATTGCAATGACTAGACCACCTATGGAAGATATTTGTGAATCTTCTCCTTCCAGGCATTTTCTTTGATATCTGGAGAAAAACGTCATGGGTTTCATAAGCAGCTTGCAAAAATTGATTTTGTACAAATAGTTTTTACCAAAATTGATTGCTGTTTTGAGGAATTTATAATTTCAGATCTGCCAATCTAAAATCAAAAAATTGCGGTAGATTGTTTTACAGGAAAAATTCTATGGGAAAATATGATATGGTATTGTCATTTTTAACGGATAACTAAAATTTGAAGCATATGTTTTACTGTACCTTGCTTCAGCCCATGTGATTAAATTCTCCCCAGATTTAGGAGGATCGTCTTCCATTATCCAATCTTTGAAGAACAACCTGTGAAACGACTCAGCATATGTGTCATTGTGACTACCTGTAACATAGCAGAACACAATTTAATTGAACAGCACAACCAAATTTCAGAACACAATGGCACAACCAAATTTTAGAACACAATGGCAAAACCTAAGTTGAAAAAACAATGACATAACCAACTTTCGAAGCACATTGTTTGACACAATCTTATTCAAAAAATCATTGGTACAGCTCAACACAATGTTTGGCGCAACCGATTTAATAACACACTTTTGACACATCCAACTAAAGAATGACACAACCCATTTTCATAATACACTTGTATATTGAAATGCTAGCACAATCCATCCCTATAACAGAATGTTTAGCCCATTCCATTTTCATAACACAATTTGGCACAACCAAGTTCATAACTCTGGCACAACCAAGTTAGTTCAACACAATGGCTTGAATACCAAGGTTCGCAGCTATTCGTACAAAAACAGTCACCTATTAAAAATCGCATACCTGGAGTGGTCATGAATTTAACATAGTCCTCAAGTACTGCCTTCCTTAGTTCCCTTGTGTCCATGTTTCTGTCTGGATCCTGTTTTTGAAGTAGTGAGAAAACACGGAGTGCAACCACAGAGTTCAATGTGTTTTCTCCAGCCTGCATACCTGAAATCATGAAGGGAGTCCATGATTTAAATCATGAAGTAAAGTGGAAAAGTCTTGCTTAATGCATTTAATGCTGAATGCTGGATACAAAAAACCAACTACTATAATAAACAAGGGATTAACATGACAAAATGTCACCACCTTGTAAGTTATTGCAAATTGTTACAACTCCAAATGCCAACCACCAACAGCTGTCACAAAAAAGTTGGAGACAATAACAAAATATCACCACTTTTGGTTGTGACATAATTATGCATCCACTCCTTGGTGGTGCCATAAAAATGCAGATTTACCTTGGTGATAATGCGTAGATCTGTCTCCACTTGTCCAGTATTTCAACTTATCATGAAGGATGACGTCACCAACGATACGTTTTGACTTGGAGTGCCAACCAGTCCTACCACTGCCATCTATAATACATTGTATTGCATAATATTGTACTCTGTATTGAATTGTTCTGTATCACATTGCATTGCATTGTATTGTATAACAGTACATTACATTGTATTACATTACAGTGTATTGCAATGTATTGTATTGTATCAATTTGCATTGTATGGTATTGTATTACAGTGCAGTGTATTGCATTGTATTGTAATATATTATAAGTTATTGAATGCTTTGAAGTGCAATACAGGATATATTCTGCTGGAGAAATTCTGTATTGTATTATACTGTATTGCATCGCATTGAGTGCAGTGCAGTACAATGTAGTGTATTGTATTGTATTGCATTGCATTGTATTGTATTGTATTGTTTTCCACATTTTAATCAAACTCCTCCCAGATAATACCATATTTTGATTTACCAGAGGCATTTCACTATTGCAAGTTTTACTGTACTTACCTATTGTATTGCACTGTATTGTATCACATTGTATTGTATTGTATTCCACTTTTGCAGGTTTTACTGTACTTACCTACTGCAGAAAGAGTTAAGATGCTCTGTGGATGTTTTTTATTGGCTGCTCTGTACCCTGTGAGCCAACCTCCGTAGCCGCTCTTGATGCTAGATGGGTTATAGTACCAATGTACGGGCATACTCGTTGCATCTGAGATCAACATCCCCCATAGTGCATTCTCTTTGGATAGCTCTTTGTTGGTCATCTTGCTGTAATGTCAATTATTTACAATTTGCATTTTGTTATGTATTGATTTATTCAGGCACATTTTTCATTTCTGATTTGTATATATTTGGAGAAATAAATATGAAAATTCTTTACAAAATTTTATTCATCTTTTACGCATTTATTATACTCAAAGCAGGACTCAAACCTTCTTAAACCTCAATCTATCGACTTTATCCTCCCACTTAACCTCACTTTAATTATTCATCCTTTTATTCCACACCTTTTTGCCTCACCTCCACTCCCTTAAGCCTCACATCCCCTTTTGCCTCACCTCCACTCCCATTAAGCCTCACTTCCATTTTTGCCTCACCTCCACTCCCCTTAAACCTCACTTCCCCTTTTGCCTCACCTCCACTCCCCTTAAGGCTCACGTCCCCTTTTGCCTCACCTCCACTCCCTTAAGCCTCGCTTCCCCTTTTGCCTCACCTCCACTCCCATTAAGCCTCACCTCCACTCCCCTTAAGCCTCCCCTCCCCTTTTGACTCACCTCCAATCCCCTTAAGCCTCACATCCCCTTTTGCCTCACCTCCACTCCCTTTAAACCTCACTTCCATTTTTGCCTCACCTCCACTCCCCTTAAACCTCACTTCCCCTTTTGCCTCACCTCCACTCCCCTTAAGGCTCACGTCCCCTTTTGCCTCACCTCCACTCTCTTAAGCCTCGCTTCCCCTTTTGCCTCACCTCCACTCCCCCTTAAACCTCACTTCCCCTTTTGCCTCACCTCCACTCCCCTTAAGGCTCACGTCCCCTTTTGCCTCACCTCCACTCCCATTAAGCCTCACCTCCCTTTTTGCCTCACCTCCACTCCCCTTAAGCCTCCCCTCCCCTTTTGACTCACCTCCAATCCCCTTAAGCCTCAGATCCCCTTTTGCCTCACCTCCCCTCCCCTCAAGCCTCACTTCCCCTTTTGCCTCACCTCCACTCCCCATAAGCCTCACATCCCTTTTAAGCCTCACCTCCAATCCCCTTAAGCCTCACTCCCCCTTTTGCCTCACCTACACTGCCCTTTAGCCTCACCCCCTTACCTAATTGTGCTGGTTGAAGAAGTTGTACAGTGATCTTGTTTATCACAGTGTATAGCCTGAGTTCCTTGTATTGTACGGGTAAACCACAATGTAGATAACACAGTAGGAATTAAGCCAATGTAACGCTGGTTTAAGATCTTCTAAAAAAGAATGAAATGCACTGTTAAAAATGTATCCTGTCCTTAACATTTGAATTGTATTTTAGTTTAAGACATGTACATGTTATTCAGTACAAGGACTATACATGTAGTCCCTGGTACTGGCTGGCTGTACATTATACAATTGTTGACCTCTCCAGAGGTCAACCGGCAAAATTGTATACCGAGACTGTAAACCGAGAAACTACTGTTGACAGAGACCGAAGGTCGAGGTCAACAGTGTTTCAAGGTTTACAGTCGAGGTATATGATTTTGACGGTTGACCGAATAGAGAGGTCTACAATTGTTTTGTTAGTCAGAAGAAACTAATAATATTAGCCTATACGACAGTCATCAATCATGGCTTCATTTCACAATCTTTTCTACGAACCACGCCAGCAATAATTTTTAAGAAAATCTGAAGACAGTGGAAGCTAAACTCTCTGTTTTCGGAACACAACTGCGTACTCACCAGTAAATTAATGTTAATTTTGCGTTTCTATTTGTATTGTTGCTATACTCGTCGTGTAGAAAAGTCAAAATATCACTTTCATCAATGTGTACAAAATGTCCGACTACCATGTTTTTTCTGTAAACATTGTGACGTCATATTTCCCATAATTCACAAGTGTAGTACAGTAACATACGCGGTCAATAATATGATATCCCATGATGCACAAGTGAGGTACAGGCAAAAATGTTGACCGCTAATTGACCAATCAGATGCGAGTATTTACACTGAGGTACTAACAATATCAAATGCTACATGTGCACTGTATTGTACAACCAGGGACATGTCCGGTGCCTGAAATTGAGCACATACAGATAGTGAGAATATCTCCAATATACTCTATAAACCCTATAATATACTGAGAATTACATTTATAAAAGCTCAATGTAAAGTGATATTTTTAAGTCTTGTCAACATAAATTCTGTTTTCAAAAAGTGAGTTGAGTAAGATCAATATCAAATTGCACTTTACATCCATAATCTAGCCATAATCGCTGAGAAAATTATACTAAATGATACCTACATACTTCATCTATACCTAAGTAGTCGTGTCTTATGACTTTCTATTAAGGAAGGTCATAAAATAGACTTAGGTAACTTGTAAAAATTGTGTTTATATAATCTCTATAGCAAGAACTACCACTGTAGCTATACTTTAAGCTGCTTTAGCGAGACTCAAGGAGGATTGGCTCCCAGAGTGCACCACCGATATTCTGTCCCATATATGGGTATGTCGTAATACAAAATTCGAATTCAAACAGCCGCCATTTTGTTCACTTCAACATTTAAATCGTGAATTTTGGTCTTATTTCCAAACGAAAAATTCCAAAACTCACAAGAAATGATCGAGATATTGGTTCAAATCTTTTGAACTGTTTATTTTGAATTTACAGTCGGTTTTAATTTCAGAAAATAACGACATTTCGACGTTTTCATTGTTGGAAAATATCGAGTTTCGATCCTGGGAGCCAATCCTCCTTGAGCGAGACTGCAATATCATTTTACGACAATACACATACGACTCCGCTACGGCAAACACAAATTATTTGAAAATCTTTTTTGAGATTTTGTTTTTAAATCAGTGTTTTTACATCTATCCTGGTTACCGATTGCGTGATAAAGAAAGGCGTTGATTAAATATTATTCAAAGAACATTTATGCCAAGTTTGTGTAAGTATAACGCATTATTTTTAGAATAGTTAGTAAAGAAAATGAAATTCAAAGCTGAAAGAATAGACTATGTAAAATATCAATCAAAGAAAATGAAAAAATTGAATAGTCTAGTCTAGGCTCAGAGTCTAGCCCTAAATGATTATAATTCCATTGAATACCTTGAATGTAAAAAATAAGCAATCAAAGGACCATGTTAAACATGCATAAAGTGGGGAACAAAAATAAACCCCAACCATCAAAAGTTGTCACAATGAGCTAAATTCTAAGTTTCGTGTCTCAAAATCTCCCAAGTGGTAGACAAATAATTCTCGTTCACTCTAAGTAGCACAATAAATGAATCCAACATGAATCGCCATGTGTGTGATCCAAGGAGGATTGACTCCCACAATGCAACATCAGTTAAGGACAGGGTGCATGTTGGGAAATTTTCTGCACTCCTCAATTGAGTCACATGTTATTTTTCAAACAAGAATAACTCCTTCCCCACATTGTCTACATCTTCCAGGTTTGCACAAAAGAGTGCACTTATGTGCCTAGAAAAGCCTTGTGGGAAGATTTGTTTTGTAAAATGTATAAAAAAAGAGAAAATTCAGTGAAACAAGATAATCCAGTGAAAAAATCACTGAAAAACTACAAAGACCCGAAGTTAGGTATAAGGGGCGGAAAAGATGGAGTGATAGTGAAATGTTGCTTTCAGTGGAATCTATTAAGTAACGTAATTAGAGGTTATGTCACTATCGTGGCATATATGCCCGAGGTCTCAGTGATATATGGCCCGACCTTGGGAGGGACATTGACGGTATCGCAACAGATTTCAGTCATAATTATATCAGAAAGTTAGCGGGCGCGGGCTTTTCGAAACTTATATTGGCCCGCTGTCTTGTGTACACTTTGCACTATACATCATCATAGGTATGTTATAAATGGTTATATTTTCACAGAGGCATGTAGCGCCACTTATACTATTAGGCTACTGGTATACTGTTCTGGATGGGGTAGGGTTACTTACAAGTAAGGAACTCTATTGTTATTTTTGTAAATGACTTTTTTACCAAGAACAATATAGATAGCGCTTCGTGCTCTTTTACGTTATGTTACATTTTGCAAGGGGTTTTACATCAGATTTTCAAACTGTGAACACAATTTCTATATCTGTTTTTTTTTGTGTTTTGATGCAGTATTGCATTACCAAGAAAAGGTTTAAATATACGAATAAACTCTAACAAACTTCATTATGTCACCATCTCTACACGGTGACATAAAACAATCATGTAACTTAAGCACATATTTCGGTATATTGTGGCGTCTTATAGCCCAAAAATATACAACAAATCTCAAAAAGTCCAATTAAATCCATAGTGTCAGTAGTGAATGACATCTGGACCTTGATTGAAACTTATTGGATCTTGTCGTGACATCATTTGGACTCTGTGGAAAGTTCTAATGTACATCATCCTTCTTGAGCTTTGTTATTATTTCCATACCCTGGAAATATGAGATAAAAGCATATCTTATATGTGTGGCCTTAGTCAATACATTTCCTGCCTGTCTTTGTACAACATTTATACCTTTGAATGAAGATATTTCATGTATTCATACAGTTCATACTAATAGTTTACAATATTATTGTATTAGTGGGGGGGGGTGTATAGAGGGTCTTGGAAATGCATATACAATATTTTTCAGCTCTCTTATACCATATACAATATTTTTTCACCCCTTTTATACCATATACAATATTTTTCACAGCTCTTATACCATATACGATATTTTAGGTGAAATACAATATACGATAATTTTGAAACTGCTTTTGATTAAAGTTTGGATATTTATAAGGAAATAATATTAGGAGAGAATCCATGTACTAAAGTAAATGTATTATTATAAGGGAAATAGACTCCACATACATACCACAATGATTTCATTTATTACATTATGAATAAGACACCATTCGGGTACATCCGCATGTTCAGAAAAGCTGTGACCACATTTTATTTTCATGTAAACAAGTTGATTTAAAACACATTTATGATATAAGATTCATGACTTATCTTTAGTGATTTCACAACCTACTTTGACCAAAAAACTAACTTTAACATTTCTGCAATTTGCTAAAGCCATTAGCCCATTACCTGTAAAAGTACCATAAAGATATTCAAAATTAGCACAAAACCTGCATCATTGGAATGGGTGGAACTCAGTGTTCCTCTTTCTTATGACCTACTTTCCCATGACATATTTTAATGTCAATGGAATCCTTCAAAGTGAGCCAGGGAAAAAAATCCTTGAAACATAATTGATGCAAAATTGAGAATGTGGAATAAAAGATTCATCATGTGATCTATGAAAATAAAGTTTGCTGAGGAAAATATGTATCAGATAGGCTAGGTAATGAAGATTCACAATGCACAATGATTTTGTAAAGCAGTTACCTGAAAATATTAAGTATTGAAAACAGTTTCAGAAATAAAGGACTTCACAAACTTCCATGTAGATAATTCATTTTTGATTGGACTCGAGTCTGGAAATTAGAGTTTGAAATAAAGGCAAGACGAGACTTGATTGTTTAAACATTTGAAACAAGAGACACTTCGGGGTTTCAGATAAGGCAGCCTTAAAGACAGTATAAGTTAAATAAAGGTGTGTCAAAATAAAGCAAATTTCCATAAAGTTCAAACCACATGTTTCACAAATGATTTCAAGGCAAAGATGTATTGATGAGAATGAAAACTACTCTATGCAACTAGAAATAACTTTCTTTTAAAGGACCACAGACGGTATCGCAACAGATTTCAGTCATAATTATATTGGATTTTGGCTATTTTCTAAGGATTTGAACAGGTGCATATGGCCAATGCATTAACTCCAGGACAAGCAATCATAGAGATTATAAAATAATTTGGACTTTAAGTCAGGGAAGGTGCAAATTTGCACCCCATCAACATGTTTTTTCTGTAATATTGTCCTGATTTCCAGCCCTTTCCACACCTGTTTTTCAATGTTTGTTGCATCAATCACTCTTGCGTTTTAAATGAAAATATGATTCATGCAGGGGTTTTAAAGATATCAATTTTGAATGACCAAAATTTAGCTGAAAACAATGGATCACATGGGAAATACATGAACTGTTCTCCACTTTATCCCAAATAAATCATATTTTAGAGGTTAACTGTGTCTCAAAACTGTGTCTCAAAGTGCAACATATTGGTGCATCAAACATTGAAAAAACATATGTGGAAAGGGCTCAAAATCAGAACAAAATTTCAGAAAAACCTTCCCTGTCTCAAAGTCCAAATTATCATCAATTGCTCAATCAAATTGCTTGATCTGGAGTTAATGCATTGGCCTAACATATGCACCTGTTCAAATCCCCAATAAATAGCCGAAATCCAACATATGACAGTTTGAAGACCAAATAAAAACCTTTTGCTATTTATGCTATATTAGCATTGTGATGCTTGTATTAAAACATGCGCTGTATGAACACTTTATACTCAAATATTTTAATGGTTTATCCCACATACCCCGAAACACGAGTAGCCATAGTGACCATATTTTTCATCAAAGTTAAGATGAGTCAACGTCGCCAACGTGCAAATGCCAATGTTTTTGCTATAAATCAAGCAACAATGGTCTGTACGACCTGTAATAAATATATAAGCAACGTTTTTATCACAAAATTCTTTGCCGTTTTTTTAAAATAAATTTCCAAATGATAGATAAAAAATAATCGAATAATTGAACGGAGGGGGGGGTGGAGTGAACGGAGGGGGGGGGGGGTGGAGTAATATGTCTTTAAGGTGGAAGAAATTTCCACAAATTCGTGTACTTGAAAAATGAACTCACTTACTCAGTAACTTGATGTTACAACTCTGAAAAGCGAAAAATGGGGACATATGGAGTTAATGGAAGTTTTCATATGTCTTATAGACACATTACTCCCCCCTCCGTTCAATTTTAATAACGTTAGATTACTTTTTATATAATGTATGGTAACGTGTTTTACAAAACCAATGATGACAATAGTTTTGTGATAATTACTTCACTTACAAGTATTTATTACAGGTCGTGTAGACCCCTGTTGGTTGATTTATAGCAAAAAATTGGCATTTGCACATTGTCGACGCTGCACTTTTTTAATAGATCTTTTATTTTAGAACTCCACAGTTCAAAAAAATCCAAGAAGACCTAACATATTCCCCCGTCCACTGCGTCTATTCATTTAGCCATTCAATTGTAAACTTTCTCTTGAAAAAATAAATCTTCAAGATTTGTTGAATTTTCTACCAAAAATCAGCTAGATCTACCCCCCTCCATTCATTTCTTCTGATAATCTGGCGTGATTCTTATTTGAGACTATATTTAACACCTCCTGTGAAAATTTGAATGAAAAGGGCACAAAACTCTTAGTTTGAGAAGGATTTTTTCTAAACTTACAGTATTGATTGACCTGGAATGTTGAACCAATTAGA